TAATGGTTCAGTGACTTCTCGATATATTGCAGTGGAAGAGTTGGTTTAAGACTAGATATTTAAAACAATGGCTTGATACTAAAAAAGCGTGCACGTATATCGGGATGTTGAATGGGATTATCTGTTTCCCATCATACTGCTGGTAGTTATTTAAATATACCTTGGTCCTTGCCCTGCTCGTCTGTGTATCGGAAATTCTCCATGGCCCGCAAGTCGTAGGTCTTATCACGCGCATTTGAAATTACCTGAAGCACCCATCATCAAATAACCAATAAGAATAAGACTAACAAAGCCGATATTCAACACTTTCCGTAAAGAAAAGATTGTACGCGTATAGGCGGGCTGTCTCGATTGATTTAGGCAGGCGGTGGAATAGACACGAAAGTGTCTCTTATACTGACTAAATCTAATCGACGCAATTGTGATTTTTATCTCATAGACCTATTTAATGAACTTCTCGAGATCACGATTTGTAACCAGAAGATTTCTACTATGAGGGATAGAACTTCGACCTATAGTCCACACAAAATTCACAAAAAAATTAAATAATATGCAGCACATGTGACTAATTATATATTATACACCTTACACGTGAATAATGTGTACTTGCACGTTGACAATAAAAGTACATGTGTACCTAGAGGTTTATACACATGTACATTTGGAATCATCTATACGTGCATGAAATCATTCGGATTCGTTATACATTTCAAGCGTTTCCTTAAAACTCAACCGACTGCAATTTATATCCCATCCCTCGTATGTACATACCTTGTCGGACCCGTTCTTGATCAGGTAATCAAGCAGCAAGAGAGATTTATAAACGTGCCGCCAGTGTGTCTCCTGAGTTCGTCTCCAGATAGACTCCATGACCTCCTTGAAATCTTGGCTGCAAAACATGTGGATAAGTCAATTTGGTCAATCGATCTGGCTGGGTGACACGAATGCGAATGTGCGATAAAGGCAACAAAAATACGACGTAGGTCTATATTAAGTCATTTCTTTGTTATTTGATTGTGCTAGAATATACAAGCATGTAAAGCTTCATAAACACACATACACACGCGAGCGCGCACACACATACACGAACATGCACACAAACCAACACGAACAGGCACACTCACATACGTCAATATA